GCGAAGGGCACGGCGAAGGCCGAACGCGGCAGCAGGACGGGCCCAAGACGGGCCCGACTGCTCGCTAACTTTTCCGCCGCAGCGCGGCAGGGGCGATCTCCACGCGCGCTCTCGTGGGCCAGGCTGGGGCACGCACTAACTCTCCGGCTTGCAGGAGAGGGGATGGGACCGGAGAGCGGCCGCGGAAGGCCGGAGGAAGAGGGAGGGCACTCACAGCACGAAGACCTTCGTCAGGAGTGGCCAGTGCGGCCAGCACGTGCTGAGGCAGCCTGGCAGCGGAGCGGCGTCACGGCTTCAACCAGGGGAACTGCTCGGCAATATGGAGGACGCTTTTATTTGAAGTCCTGGGGGCAACGCGCGTTATGGAAGCGGGCGGAAGGGGGGTGAAAGCGCGACGCATGCCTGGCGCGACTGGGATGCACTTCGCCCCCAGTCGCCCCGCTGGGCTCGCCAGGGGGGCGTTGTCCGTCCCCACGCGGACGAAGAGCGCTTCGGAGGCAGGGCCTGTCTGCACAGCGACACCTGCGCACACCTCAGTGACAGCGTGCACAACAGTACGCGTTTACAACACAAGAAGCCGTTGCTGCACTAGCAAAAGTGTGCACCACAACGTCTGCGTACACCACGGTGCCTGCGTACATCGCAGCAACCGCGTGCACCACAGCGCCCGTGTACACCACAGCGCTTGGGTGCACAAAAATGGCTGCGTGCACCAAAACGCTTTCGCACACCACAGCTGTTTCTGCAGCGGCATCTGCGTGCACCACCGCGCCTGTGTGCATCACGGCACCTGCGCACTACAGCAATCGCGCGCACCGCAACGCCTGTGTACACAAGAATGCTAACGTACACCGCGCCGACTGTGCGCCCCATAACTGCTGTTTCAACATCGTATGCACCTGTGCACCACGCACCGTGCACACGCGTCTGGGGTTCCGTCAAATCCCGAAAATCGCAGGTGGGCGGGCGAGGGAGTTCATGCGAGTTGCGTGTAATTACAAACTTGTCTGGCCCAGCGTACGGCCCCCACTTTGTTGGACCCAGAACGCGTGTGTACATGACATTGGCGGTGTGCGCGTCGGCGCCCGTCTGCAAACATTGCTCGCGTGCACCGCAGCTGATGCAACAACACCATCCGTGTGTACCAGACCGCCCGTACACACCACCCACAGCGGCTGTGCACAAAAAATGGCCTGTGAGCATCACACTGCCCGTGTACACGATTGTGTTTTTGTACATCGCCACAAATGCCTGTGGACGCCGCGACTTTGGATACGGCAGCATATGTGGGCAAAACGGCGCGTGTCTGCGCCACTAGGCGTGCGTATACCATGCGGCCCGTGCGCACCAGAATGTCTGAGGGGACGTGATCTCATAATGTGATTCTCGCCCTAGCGCCGCGCACATTCGTCTAAAAGTCCGCAGTCATTCCCCGGAAAGTGGTTGCGCTTAGGGCTTTTGTTTCTCCTCACATAAACTTGGAAAGGTTGTCGGTCTGGCGGTTATGTTGTCGCCGTCGCCGCCCAGTCGCCGCCCCGTCGCCGCCACGTCGCCGCCTCGTCGCCGCCCGTCGACGTGGGGGGGTTATCGATTTGGCGGCTGTGTTGTCGCCGTCGCCGCCCCGTCGCCGCCACGTCGCCGCCAGTCGTCTGGGCCTGACTGTCGGTTTGGCGGCTATGTTGTCGCCGTCGCCACCCCGTCGCCGCCTACACTGCACAACGTAGATTGTACCGCATATAGTATCCGTGCCCAAACAACATTAGGATCTACACCCCCACCGGACTTAGCGGTTCGCTTGTCTTGTATTGCAATGTTACAACTCATGCCATCCGAAACAACCCCTCGTTTTGTCGATCCCCCCTTTTTTCCCATCCCCTGCGATAGTAATATGCGCGCAATCGCTTGGCAAAAACCATCAATCAAATTTCAAAAACGTATTGCAAGAAACGGAGCGAAAAGCACACGCGCGCGTCGTCGCGTGCGCATGCCGAAATTATTCAACAACCCGGGGTGTCGTAAGGATGTCAAAATCGAACACCCCGAAAACATAAAAACTGGAGTCACCACATGAATTCCAAAACAACAAACATGCGATCACGCGGTTGCGAATTCGGTTTTTGTTCGGGGGCAAAAAATAAGTTGCGAATGTGTTCATCAAAGCTACCGAAAGTGCTTTTCGCGTGCGCGTGTCAAAATAGTTCGAACGCCATGGCGCGCGTGCTGTCGCAAGAACCCCTTGCAAAACCCAGAAACAAACGAAGTGCACACGCACGCGCGTCGTCGCGCGCGCATTCCGAAGTACGTGAAAAACCTTGGGTACCGCAATAACTTCAACAAATGAACACAGGGTTTAGCAACATCCGTTTCATTGAAAGGACTGCGCGCGCCCTGGCGAATTCTGAAGAGAACCATCGGTGTTTCAGCCTGTTCATCAGATTCGACCAGACTGGCCTGTCGCACCGCACGTCGAAAGTGATCAGCATCGGCACCGTCATTGGCCTCACTGTCGTCATCGCAATCCTCCTCACCATCGTCGCTACGACCATAATCGTGCCTACTGGTGTCGACGTCGCCATGGTACCGCGCCCGCCGAATTCACTGACTCGCACTAAAAGTGCCCGCTAGGAAATATGCCCAACGGTCAGCGCCACCGCGGCCGCCTCGGTCGCACCAAAATAACTGGCCCCTATGCGCGAAAGCATGCGCAGGCCAGCGCGGCCGCAGGGATGCACCAGCCAACACTAAGCACTCACCGCAATCGCCGCCGCACGGGTTTTGCAAACCAACTTGCGAGCGGGTGGGTGGGATGATTGCGGGGGGGAGGGGAAGTGGAGTTGACACCCCAAGCGTTTCGCAATTGATTGCACCACATTGATTCCACCACATCGATTGCACCGCATTGGTTGCACAGCTTGGATTGCACAACATAGCGTGACCAACATAGATTCCACCACTGAGATTGCACCACATAGATTGCACAATATCGATTTCACAACACAGATTGCACCAAAAATATTGTACCACACATATAACACAACATAAACTCAACACGTCGATCGCACCACGTCGATTGCACCGCATGAATTGCGCAGCTTAGATTGCACCACATCGATTTCACCAAATCTATTGCGCAGCATAGAGTGCACAACATAGATTGCCCTACATCAATTGCGCAACGTATATCGACCAACAAATTTTGCTCCACTCCGATTGCACACCATGTATTGCTAGGAGCACACTGTTTGGGGCCAACGCGAGGTTACATTCGTTTTGTAGCTTCGCAACAGCTTCAAAAATGGAGGGTGGTCGGTTTCCAAGATGTGGCCCTCGGCTTTGCGCCGCACGCATTCGTGGCAAATGTGTGCAACACATTCGAGAATGGAGCGCGGATCCTTCTCGAAACGCGATTCCCGCATTTGCGCAACACACATTCGCCTTGGAAATTTACAACAAGTTCAAGGAGTCGAACAGCTGAAGTCCCAAGGACGGCGTCTGAACTTAGATTGCACAACACAGGTTGCACCACATGGATAGCACAACATAGCTTGCTCCACATAGATTGCACAACATAGAGTGCACAACCTATACTGCGCAATCTATATATATATATATTTACAGATCACCACATGGGTTGCACAAAATAGGTTGCACCACATAAGTCGCCCAACGTATTGCACAACATAGATTATACAACACAGACTGCACCACATATGTTGCACCGCCTGGATTGCTACACATAGATTGTCGACATAGATGGCACAGCATAAATTGCACCACCTATACTGCACCACGTAGATTGCACAGCATAGATTGCACACCACATTTTGCACAACCTATACTGGTCCACATATATTGCTCCACATTGATTGCACCACATGTATTGCACCACATCGATTACACCACACAGATTGCACTACAGAGGTCGCGTAACATAGTTTGCAGAACAAGTATTGCACAGCATGGATTACCCCAGGCCCATGTATATAATTATATATGTATATGCGATTATATGTTGAACCACACATCTTGCTCCACAGAAAGTGCACAACATCTATTACACCACCTAGACTGCACCACATCTATTGCACGATCCATAATGGTAGAAACATACTGTTGGAACTCACGCTGGCCATCATAAGAGCGTCATTGTGCAACTGAGATTCAGGACGCCGAAATCCCAGGAGTGGTGTTATGGACCCACTGAAGATTCTCAAACGGTTGTCTTCCAACGGCGCACTTCCTGCCATGAAAACAAATGACTGTGGAAGCCTATGAAGGTGGACGTTGGAGGGGAATTCGGTACGCACCTTGGTTTTCCATTGATCCTCCTCGTCCTCCTCCTCCTCCTCCTCCTCCTCCTCCTCCTCCTTCTCCTCCTACTCCTCCTCCTCCTCCTCCCCCTCCTCTTCGTCCTCCTCCATCCTACTTTTCGAGGGCGCGGCTGGACGGTGCGACCTTCTTCTTGATCGCGTTGAACTCGGAGGCACCCGAGGCAAATTGTTGTTTGCTCACAAGCTCCTCGGGGTTCCGTCGGGCGGAAGCGAGCCCCTCGCCAGCCCCTCTGCGCGCGCTGTGCAAACGGCCCCCGAAGCATCAGTCTGCGACTGGCCGGAAAAGATAAGCGGACACACGACACAACAACTTGTCTGGCGTCGCGACATAGAAAGCCGGACGAAGAGACGCGCGCGGCCAGCCCAGGTCACGCGGCGCGGGGATACTAGATCCGCACATAGGAAATCGACAGCATCACTCGCAGGCCTGACGCGAGTGGGACAACAGGGGCGGCGGGGAGAGGGGGAGAGCGGGGAGACGGAACGAGAACACTGCGCAGGCGATCGACAGGGTAGAGGCGCAGCGATGAACCGCAAAGGCGGGCCGAGAAATGGCGAGACGGGAGATAGCCGACGACCCTGGACTAGCAACACACACACACACAGACACAAACACTAACACACGCACAAAGTTTGTTTTTGCGGTCGCCGGCCTCGCGCGCAGCGTCGAAGAATGTCATCGAAGGGGCAGGCACGCGCGCGGGGGGCCCTCAGAACGAGCAGAGATCTGCGCTGGATCGGCCAGGCCACGCGCATGCCTGGGCGCGGGCAGCGAGGGTGCGGAAAGTGGAAGGGCGAAAATGCAGGACCCAGAGACGCAACACTCGGCTACACGCAAGAGTGACCCTGGTTAAGAGTGACCTTTGGTGCGCGGCTTTTGGGGGGGCCGCGGGGGGACCAAACTCAGGCGCGCGAGACGCTACTATCGCATCGCAATCGGTGATCGGGGGGCCCCACTGGACCCGCACCAAAGGTCACTCCGGCGAAAGGTCACTCTTACGTCTAGTCCAAACACGACGAGCGACGACAGACGGCAAGGACGGCCGAAGCCACGGTGGCAGCACGGAGCTGCAGGCGGACCGGAGCGGCGGCGCATCCGGCCGGGAGGCGAGGCCGCGCATGCGCGCGCAGACGGCCATTAAAGGCGCGAGGCGGCACAGAGGCGACAGGGAAGCAAGGAAGGGAAGCCCGGAGGGCAGCACGCTCCCGGTGCACCGCCCACGCTGGAGCGATACGGTAGAGGGAAACAATTAGTGAACACCCCCCCTGCCCCCCAAACTCAAAGTTGGCACGCGGGGGGGGAGACTGCGGTCGAGGTGCCATTCATCAGACCCACCGCCAACTTTGAACATTGGGGGGAGGGGGAGGCGTTCACAGATGAATGCGGCATGAGTGTTCGCTATTTTTGTCCGAGGCCTGCACGACGAGCGACGACAAACGGCAAGGACGGCCGAAGCCACGGGGGCAGCACGGAGCTGCCAACGGACCAGAGCGGCGACGCATCCGGCTGGGGGGGGCGCGGCCGCGCACGCACGCACAGACGGCCAGGAAGGCGCGAAGCGGCACAGAGGCGACAGGGAGGCAGGGAAAGAAAGCCCAGAGGGCGGCACGCTCCCAAATTCACCGCCCACGCTGGAGCGACAGCGAAGCACAGAGGGGGCGGGCGCAGGCAGAGCCCAGAACGGGAGCGAGGGGCTTTCCTTCCCCTCGCCTCGCCTCCGGCCCGCCCAAGCGCTGGTGGTGCCGAGGCAGGCGTGCTCGGCGTGGGCGCAGGGCAGGCCCTCGCCCGGAGCGGCACGGAGGCGGGCAACCCGGCCGGGGCAGTGTCGCGCGAGGGATCACGCTTCTGCGAAGTCGGCTCCTCGGCCGAGACCTGGGGCGCAGGCTCTGGCTCCGAATCTTCAGGGGCACTGAAGAGAAAAGGTGCAGGGCTGATCGTCGGTGCAGCAGCGGGGTGCGCCTGGGCGGAGCCGACCCTCGCGGGCCCGTCGGTACGGATCCAGGCGCCTCAGCAGAATCCCCAGGGGCGGGAGCTAGGGCGGGAAGGGTGGGCGCGGGCTGCTTGGCCGAGGGCGCGCTGCTTGCTGGCACGGCAGCACGGACGCTGGGGCGACGTGCATCGACGGCTCCTGCAGAGGAGTCATACGCACTTTCAAGTCAGCGGCGCAGAGGGTCCTCAAGCTCGAACAGCAGATGGTGGTGCGTACTGCGACCAAGCATAATCGAAAGCGCATTCGAAGAACCGTCAACCACTGACGTGCAGAGACGGTGCTGGGTAGGAGGGAGTGCAACACAGCGAACGCGCAGCGGCCAGACACCGAGGAGCCCGCCAGAGCGAGCTTGACTCAAGGTGCCCTGAAGCGCGAGCAATCTGGCGCTCATCCCGCCAGCCCTCTGGGCGACAGGCTGTCTAATGATGTCTTGTGTTTCCTCTTCCACAACCCCTTCTTCCAATTCGGGGATAGGTTTATCTGTGTTCCCTATTTATATACACCCCCTCCCACACCTGGCTGGCGGCCAACCCGGAACCATGCCAACCTTGCAAGGGCCACTTCCCCCCCCATCCCTGTCAAAAAAACAAAACAAAATACCTTTACCTCTGCATGTGGAACATGCGCGGCCGCCCCGCGACCATTCTGTATTGGTATTTTACAAGGACGGTTGGGGCGCCAGCAGATCCCACCTGCCCTCTGGGCGCAGGTGGTCGACCTACTGGTTTGACACATAAGTGGCTGCTGCCTTTTCGCCTTACCGTCTCCGATGGGATTTTGAAACCACATGGCTCCAACATTGCGGTGGCTGGCGCACCTGGCGCGGCTAGAGCATGTGGAGCACTGGGCGCACGTGGAGCACGTGCCGCACCTGGCGCGCCTGGCAATCTTGGGCCTCCAGGGTCTGGTGCATCTGGAACCCGTGACGTCTGCGGCGTTCTTTCGCGATATGCAGACTCCCGGATGTTACCTATGTGTTGAGAGAGCGGGTGGGAGTGAGCAAGACGGGTTGCGGGCGGTTGGGAAGCTTGACCCCTCCTCCTACCCCCTCCCCTGGACCTGGACGGGCGGGTCGCGAGCGGTCAGGGCGTCCGAGATACCCTGAGATGGCCCCAAAAGGGCATCAGAGAGGCCAAGATGGCCTCCAAGATCGCTCAAGGTAGCCCAACATAGCTCAAGGTAGCTAACAACATGCCTCCAAGATGCCCCAAGAAGGCCACAAGACGGATCCAAGTAAATTTGGAAACCCCTCAGGACATCCCAAAGAAGCCAGATTATTTCAAACACCTACGGAAAAACCAATGATGTTGGCCTTGTCGTTTTTTCGCGTCCGATGCGCTTTTCAGGCCTCAATATTGCCCCCAAGATGGCCCAAGAGAGCCCCAAGAAGGGCCCAAGAGGCCCCCAAGACGGGCCCAAGAGCACCCAAAATCGCCCCAAGAGGGCCCCAAGAGCGCCCCCTGAGGCTATTTTGATGGCCCCAGGGGAGGGGGGGGAAGGAGGGGGCTAAACGCTAGGACCCCCCCTCTTTTCACCGACACCCTTCACGACAGCCCCAAGAGGTCCTCCAGGGCTCCCAAGGGCCCATGAGGCCACCAAGAGAGCCCCGAGAGCTCCAAGAGGGCCCCATGAGGGCCCCAAGGCGCCCAAAAGAGCCCCAAGAGGACCCCAAGACCCCCCAAAGAGCCCTAAGAGGGCCCCAAGATGCCCCAAAAGAGCCTCAAGAGGACCCCAAGACCCCCCAAAAAAGCCCCATAGCTCCAAAAAGGCCTCCGATGCTCCAGGATAGCCTCCAGCATGGCTCACCACGTTCCTCCCCCTCCTCTCTTTGACCGCTCCGTTTAACCATGTGCGTCTCTGCTTTCCATGTCCCGTCAGCTCTCGTGGGCAGGGCTTCTGAATTGGCGAAGCGTAAACAATTGCCACCGCATCATCGGAGCTGACACACACACACACACACACACTTTTTTGATCCGCGGGTCGAGAGCGCACCTCTTCCGGTCGAAGCTAAGCGGGCCGCGCACAGCTTGAATTAACGAGAGGGGGGCAGAAGGAGGGGCCTCACATCAAGGCCAGGAGGGGGCAAAGCCCCGGAATCAGGCGATGCCGAGGACGATGTGCTTGCAAAGGAGCGCCTTGGACAGGAACCTCTCTGACACACACACACACACAACAACAACAACAACAACAACAACAACAACAACAACAACAACAACAACAACAACAACAACAACAACAACAACAACAACCACAACAACAACAACAACAACAACAACAACAACAACAACCGCAACAACAACAACAACAACCACAACAACCACAACAACAACAACAACAACAACAACAACAACAACAACAACAGCAGCAGCAGCAGATGCAACAACAACAACAACAACAACCGCAACAACAACAAGCGCAACAACAACAACAACAACAACAACAACAACAACAACAACAACAACAACAACAACAACAACAACAACAACAACAGCATTCCGTTTTCGGGCGTTCGCAGACGGGCGCAGCGCCTCGCCGTCCGAAGAAGAAGTCGCCAGCGCGCGCGCGCAGGAGGCGGAGAGAGTGGCCGACCTCTTCACGGGGGCAGAGGCAGGGCAGCGGAGGGGCCAGCGGCAGCGGGGGGTGCGGGCAAGACGGACAGCAGCGGGGCCAGGGCGCAGGCGAGGAGGAGGGGCCCGGACGGGATGGGTCGGCGGCATTGAGAAGAAGAGAGCTCCCGAAAGGGAACAGAAAAGCTCAGACGGTGAAGGCGGCATTTGGGAAAAGGCAAGGCATGATAGAAAAGGGAGGAACTCGGGAAAAAGCGTTCCCCTCCTTGCTTTTCATGCCCCCCCCCCTTTTCGCCTCCTTCGCCCTGAAGGGGGGGGGGGGAAGGGCGATGTGGGCGGGCGAGGGTGGACAGCGGGTGGGGGGGGAGGCAATTTCGGACCCACCGAAAGGGGGGAACTCTGGAAAACAGGGGGGAACCCTGACAAGGAGGGGGGGCTCCCCCAAAAAAGTGAGGGGGGAAAGGGCGCGGGGCGCACGCTCTCCGGCGAGGCAGGACAGGCGGAGAGGGGCAAGCCGCGGCGGCCGCACGCCGCCATCGTGGGGCAGGCGGTGGGGCGGCGGGAGCCGCACCCTCAGGGTGGAGGCGGGCGGGCAGAGCCAGCTCAGCGCGCCAGAGCGACACCGGGGGCGGCCTCCTCCTCCCCCTCCTGCCTCCTCGTCTCTGCTCCTGCCTGCCTCTCGTGTGGGGCAGTCAGGCTCAGGGCCTGTGCCCTTCTTTTAGCTCCAGAGGGCGGAAGATGTACGATGCGTTTTGTCCGACCATGCTGTGGTGTTAGGTCCTCGTCTTGAAGAGACAGCGCTCCGCGTCACTCACTCAATCACTCCCTGCACCCTCGCTCACTCAATCGCTCGCTCGCTCGCTCACTCACTCACTCACTCACTCACTCACTCACTCACTCACTCCTCCTCCGCCCATCCCCGCCTCTCACACCCAATTCGGCACACCTCGCCCACGTTTCGGGGCCCCATGAGGAGATCCACCTGAGGCCCCAGTTGGTGCGTCTACATGCGATCGCCCCACCCAGTCTGGCTCACCCCTCACATGCTTCGTGGCCCATAGGGAGCTCCACGTAATACCCGAGTGTGTGCGTCCACATGCAGCCGCCCCACCCATGCCGTCTCACCCCTTACACGTTTCGGGGCCCCATTGGGAGCTCCACCTAAGGTCCCCGAGGGTGCGTCCGCATGCGGTCGCCTGCACACCCCTCGCTCTTTGCGTGGCCCCAAAAGGAGCTCCACCTGAGGCCCCAATGGGTGCACCCACATGCGGCTCCCCGCCAATTGCGGAGCGGAAACCACCTTTAACTTTTCGTGGGCTCATAAGGAGCTGCACCACCTCAGGCCTTTGTGGATGCGTCCACATGCGGCCACCCCATCCATTTCGGCACACCGCTCGCACGTTTCGAGGCTCTATCGGGAGCTCCACCTGAGGCCCCTGTGGGTGCGTCCACATGCGGCTCCCCGCCAATGTCGGCACACGCCTCGCACGTTTCGTGGCCCCACAGGTGGCTCAGTCGGAGGCCCCAGTGGCAGGGTTCGCAGGGCGGCGCCGCACCCAGTTTGCTACACCTCTCACACGTGTCGTGGCCCTCATCCGCGCTGAGCCAGCCAGCCAGCCAGGCAACCAGCCGGCCAGTCCCATGCTCTCTCCCTCTCGCGGCGAGCTGTTCTAAAGAGTGAGTACGGTGAGGTTCTTCGCCATGCTAACTTTTCCATTGCGCGACGGACGCCATCGGCAAGAATCGCATGCGTGACCGTGCGCATGTTGGCACATCCCTCGCATGACTCATGGCTCATGGCCTTATCGGAGCTCCACCAAAGGCCCCGCCGCCTGCTGCTCCCCAGACCGCGCCCTGCTCCAGCTCCCCAGGGCTGGGCTGACAGACGCTCAGATCAGCCGCGACGGGTTACATCCAGATGTAACCCGTCGCGGCTGACCCCTGCGACCCCATCAGCAACGTCGCTCCGTCCCTCCCGCGCACGGCCTGAAGTCCTGTGGCAAGCCCACTCCCCGAGTCTCCGCCGTTCCCACCCGTCTGGCGGAACCCGCAGCTGCACTCTGGTTGGCTCCGTCGCCAGGCTGTGCTTTTCCACTGCGCGACGGGCGCACGGCCGCCGCGGCCGTGCACCTCGCGACTCTGCCGGGGCAGGGCGCGGGGAGCCCGACGCCGAGCAGAGCCCCCTGCTCGACCCGCCGGCTGCTCGACCCCGGAGCGAGCCGGCGGGCGCGGCGCCGCCCCCCGCAGCCGTCGGCCGCCGCGCCTCCCGGCCCCGCCGGCGTCGGGGGCGGCCAAGAGGGGGCGATGACCAGGGGGGGTGGACATCATGGCGTGGGCCATGAATGATATTTCCTCAGACTTCACGGCACCTCTTCTCATTTCACGACGTCCCCCGCCCCCCCCCCCCGGGCCGCGCACGTGCCGCCGGCCATGACTTGCGCCCCCCCCCTTCCCTCTTGGGCGCCCCCCTCTCAGAGGAGGAAGCGGATGCTGGCGAGGGGCGTCCTCCACCTTCGCCCAGTTTGGCCAGGCGTCGGCCATCGCTGCGGGGCCTGCTGCGCTCTCTTGACTTGTGGGACTGTAGGAAGCAACAGGGGCGGGGTCCGAGGGAGGCTCGGCCATCGCTGCCAGGGGGGACAAGGTGCAACAGGCGAGGCGGCCAGACAGAGGGCTCCTCTCCAGACCTCTGGCGTCACGAAAAGAGTCGTGGCGGTCAGTTTGTTCGGCCTCGGGAGGCCCTGCCTGCACCCGAGGACAGACAAAAGAGCAGCCCGGGGCGAGAAAAGCTGGCCGCGGGGAGGGGATCGAGAGATCCAGGGTCCCGCGCGGTGAAAAAAGTGGCGTCGGAGGTATGGGCCCCTCCACTCTGCCCCTCTCCATCCTCCAGTGCCCCTCTTTTCTGGACATCTGATTTTGAACTTTACGCACGATGGTATCTCCATGGCGCTGCTTAAGGCCAGAAGGGGGGGGGGAGCTCTTCGAAACGGTGCCTAGCTTGAAATATGGGGCGCTAGCCTGTCAAGGGGACTCCCGGTAGCAAGAGGACGGGGTCTGCAGGGACTCAGGCGCGCCGCCGCGCTTCCCGTTCCCCCGCACTCCCCGAGGCTCGCCTGACGGGCGTCCAGGGCAGCCTGTGTATCTGGAGGCCGCGCCAAGAGTGTACGAGGTTTGAGGATCGAAGTCCTCAAATCGATGATCCTCAGAACGTGTGTTAGCGCCTCACAGGGCCGGCACAGGCTGCGTGCTGCCGGTGCAGCTGGCCAGGATAACACGCGTCATGGACTTAAGCACGTCCTGAGGATCATCGACTGAACGTCTCGACTTTTTCCGGCCTCCGCGAATCGCCAGGGACCTCCGCTGATGGCGCCGGACGATCGCACCACTTGGCCGATGCATCGGCGATGCATCGCCGTTGCATCGGCGACGTCGGGATAGAAAAGCTCGGCTTCAAATCGCGCCGCGGCGATCGCCGATGCATCGGCGGGGCGACGCGATCCTCCGACCCCGTCCGCGGAGGACCCCCGGAGGTCCCCGGAGGCATCCAGAGGCCCCAAAGTCAAGAAGGACCAAAAACACGCCCAAAGACAGCACAACCCTCGACACTCGTCGAAGCCATCCACTCTGGTCGCTCGCGGTGGCGGCTCGGAGCGGCTGCTCCTCGTCTCGGGCTGCCACGCCTCCTCCTCCTCCTCCCGCTCCCGCTCCCCGGCTCCGCCGCCGCCGCTCCCGCCACCGCCGCCGCCGGCGTCGAGGCCGCCAGCGCCGCCGCGAGCCGCTCGTCGCCGCTGCCGCCGCCGTCGCAGTCGCCAGCTGCCGCCGCCGCGGCCCGCTGGCGCGCCGCCGCCGCCGCCGAGGCCGCTGCCGCACTCTACGCCCTGCCGCCTCCTGGGTCAGGCGAAGACAGGGGGGGGTACTGCAGGTTCGCGCGGCGTCGGCGCGCGCACAGGTTTTTGACACCGCGTCGGTCGCTCAACAGTGAGCCGATCGCGGCGCCGATCGTTCAGGGTTGCACTCCGTGGGGTCCTGTGGCGTTGCCGTGCCTCTCAGTGCTCCCACGGCGCAAAATACAACCTTGAACGCCTTCGCCAGCGTCGCTGGCGCGCCAGCGCCGCACGAACACACCGTAGCGAATCAGCTCACGTAGCTGGTCTTCCCAGCGACTCCGGGCGTTCGAGTCGCCCACGTATCGGGGAATGCGCCAAGCGGCGGGGCCGAAAGCAGCTGTACGCAGCAGCTTACATGTCCCTGTCGGAGCGGCAACGATAACGACAGGGGGGGATCAGCTCAGTGGGGGAACATCGACCTCGAATCGGCGATGGATCGCCCGAGAGATCGGCAAAGCAGGACCTCGATAGCGAAGCCGCACGCTCCTGGGCGGGGAGGGCTATCAGGCCTCTGTCGGCGATCATTGGGCCGAGGGGGGTCGACCTGCTCCCCCCCCCCCCCGAGCCCATCCCCCCCTGACATTGCCCCTGGGCCCCCTTCGCCCGACCCGACCCTCGGGGGGGGCCGGGAGCCAGGGCCTGGCGCAGCGGCCCCCAAGGGGCGCGCGCCGCGGGGCGCCCCTCTCGGCAGCGCCGACGGGGCGCCGTCCCGGCCCCGCCCGGGCGGCGGGCTGCGCTGCTTTGGGCGCGAAGCAAGGCCAGCGTCGCCCTCGTCGTCCTCGCCATCGTCGTCGTCGTCGTCGTCGTCCCATCTGTCCCTGCTTGAGAACACCAGCCCTCTGAGCGCAGGTGGTCTGGAGCGCTTCCTTTTCCACCACACTGCCCCCCCCTCCTTCCCCGTGGGGGAGGAGTTCATCACTGCTCTTCTTAATTACTGTAAACCCCCTCCCCCCCCCGTTCGGCGACAAACCAGGAACAGTGCCACCCCCACCCCTGACCATCCTTCTCACAAACAACAATGAGAGAACGCGTTTCATGGACGCTTGGTCGGGAAACATCCCGCGACATGTCGGAAGCGGGGGGCTCCCCCCCCCCCAAAAAAAAAGTATTCTGGCGAAAGACCCAACCAACTGCAGTTGTGAGTACGTCATTGCGGATATCGCCTTCGGGGGATCTCCTCATGGGGCCATGAAGCATGCGAAGGATATGCCGAGATGGGACGGGGCCGCCATGTGGGCGCTGCTACTGGGGCTTCAGGCGGAACCCACTATGGGGTCGCGAAACGTGTAAGGGGTGCACCGCAAGGAGGCGAGGTTGCCACTGGGGCCTTCGGTGGAGCTCCCCATGGCGCCACGAAACGCTGTGCTGGGCGGGGGAGACACATGCGAACACAGCCACTGGGGCCTTCGGTGGAGCTCCACATGGCGCCACGAAACGCTGCGCTGGTTGAGAGAAACGCATGCGAACAGAGCCCACTCGAGCATTTGGTGGAGCTCCTCATGGGGCCACGAGACGCTTTACTGGGTGGGGCGAACGCAGGCGAACACCGCCACTGGGGCCTTCGGTGGAGCTCCCTATGGGTCCACGAAACGTTGTACTGGGTGGAGGAAACGCATGCGAACACCGCCACTGGAGCCTTCGGTGGAGCTCCCTATGGAGCCACGAAACGCTGTACTGGGTGGGGGAAACGGATGCGACCACCGCCACTGGGGCCTTCGGTGGAGCTCCCCATGGCGCCACGAAACGCTGCACTGGATGGGGGAAACGCATGCGAACAGAGCCCACTAGAGCCTTTGGTGGAGCTCCCTATGGGGCCACGAGACACTTACAGGGTGGGGGAAACGCATGCGACCACCGCCACTGGGGCCTTCAGTGGAGCTCACTATGGGTCCACGAAACGCTGGATTGGATAGGGGAAACGCGTGCGAACACCGCCACTGGGGCCTTCGGTGGAGCTCCCTATGGAGCCATGAAACTCTGTACTCATCATTCTCCACCTACTCATCCTCCTCCTCGCCTCCGTTTTCCCAATTCCCGCACCCCCTCCTCCGATTGCCCTGGCCCTGAGAGTAGACCACCACGGACCGGACGAACATGAGAGAAGCACGCCCGAGGAGCACAAAACGCAGACCAGACGCCACAAGCCCCTCCTCCTCCTCCTCCTCCTCCTCCTCCTCCTCCTCCTCCTCCTCCTCCTCCTCATCTTCCTGTTCTGTTATGTAGGTCCACATAGGACATTGGTGCCGACACTCTGGGCACGGGGCGGGCTATTACGCATGTGCAGCAGACCCCCAGGTTTGCCAGAGGTCAGACCGCGCGCAATTGCCCAGCGCGTGCCCTGTCCCACGGGGGACGGTCTTCCAAACTGGGACACAATTGTGGGGGCCCTCTGGGAACCAGCGCTGGCCATGTTTTGTGTGAGGACGCAGCCCACGATCCTGCAGCCTCCTCCCTGCCAGGCACGCGCACACACCTACGCTCGCGCACGCACAACCACACCCGCGCACCCGAGTGAGAGGAGCAGCACGATTCAAAGGGGTGGATGGGAGTTGACCAGAACACCGACGAACGAGAATTACCGTGCACATAAAAAGAGTTTGACCAAAACCCCTGAAACGTACGCGCACACGTAACAACACGCGTGCACACGCACATGCGTGTCGTCGACCATTGCTGGACTGGTTCCCTTTACTAACATTAGTCGGCTCAAACAACACACCACAAACGCCAGGAGCCTCCCGGGTTCCCTCCCCTTCCGCCTCCTCCTCCTCCTCCTCCTCCTCCTCCTCCTCCTCCTCCTCCTCCTCCTCCTTTCCTCCTCCTCCTCCTCCTCCTCCTCCTCCTCCTCCTCCTCCTCCTCCTCCTGCTCCTCCTCCGTTTCGTCGCCTCCTTCATGCCCTGTCGGTTCCATCGCCCCTTCCTCTTCCCCGATCACCCCATGTTTTGATACGTTCCAAGGCGAGGTCCCCAAAAATCCGGATTCTTGTCCCGGGACCCAATGTCTCATCCCGGGCCGTTTTCTGACGGTCCAGGGGGCCGACGGAAAACCTCCCCCGCGACGTTCTCACGACGGCATTGGCTGTCTGGTTTTCCGAACCTCCAGCGGCCGACAGGGACGGGACTCGGGGACCACCAGAACGCGCCCGACGAGGCGCAGCTGCTGGAAAGCACCCCCCCGATTGGAAAACCCCCGCGGACCAACGAAATCACATGAAAATAGGATTCCTCACCTCGGACTGTGTTCACACCGCGGGATGTGTGGACCTCACCCACATCCCGACGACGTGATCATCGGGATTCGCTTCTGACGGTCCCGAAGACTGGCGATGGCCCCCGGAAGAAGGACAACAACAAAAAAACGACAAACATCAAAAACACAACGAAAACAAAAAACAAAAAAAACTCGTCTCTTCCGAGAACGACAGAGATAAAGGGAAATTAGGACACACAAATAAATACACACAAATAAAAATAGTCCCCATATTTTCCCATATTTTCTAGGTTTTTGTCTTCCCCCCAATTCCCATATTTTCCCATATTTTCCTGGGAATCGAGGATTAATTGTGTCTGTGTGTTTTTTTCCCTCCTGAAGAGACTGGGCACCGCCCGCCATCGGCGCAGCTTCCGAGCGGGCGGGGCGGCCGGGGGCCTCCCGGAGCTCGCCGGGCGGGCCCGCCCCCACCCGCGCGCAGCCGCGGCAGGGCGCCCCGCCGACCCGCCAGCGCCTCGCGGAAAGGGGGGGGGGCGTCGCGTCCTCGCCGTCGTCGTCCTCACACCTGCCGTCGCGGTCGGTGGCGGTGGTCGCCGCCCCAAGTTTCCGAACGTTTTCGCCGGTGTTCGGGCAGTTTTCTGACGTGTTTGTCGAACCTCGGGAAGTCATCCAAACCTGGCGCGCTCTCTAACAGCTGCGCCTGCTGACAGCGTTCCGGCGGCGCCCCCATCATCCACAGCGGCCGCCCAACCAGCGGCCCGAAGACCACCCGGAACCCAGACATCCGGCTTCTTGAAAAATCAACGCGAAAGGTGTTCGTCGTTTTCTGCCCCTGGGGCATCGTCAAATTCATACGACCACTCGCCATCGGCATGACCATCGTCATCGGCATCACCGTCGTCATCGCCATTACCATCAAAAGTACCACCACCAGAACCACAATCATATCAAACATCACCATCATGAACATCACCACCATCGCCTGCACCACCACCAACAACACCAACATCGTCATCATCACTACCGCCACCACCATCATGTTCATCGGCATCCGCGCCACTGCCATCACAAGCATCACCATCACCACCAAAATCACGATCACGATAATATTCGTTGGCACCATCATCCGCATCACCATGACCAGCAGCATCGTCTCTGGCACCACCAGCTAGCACCCGCCAGCATCATCACCACCACCATCATCAGCGCAACCTCTGTCATCATCATTGTCGCCGAAACCACAACATCGTCACCATCATCATCGCCGCCATCATCATCGTCACCATCATCATCACCACCACTATCTCCGTTATCGACATCATCACCACCATCTTCGCCGCCAGCATGCTATAGTATCATCATCACCACTGGCATCGTCGTCGTCATTGAGATCACCAAAATTGCCACTACCAGAGACCATTATCCTCATTTTCATCATTACCATCATGAGCATTATCAACACCACCGCCCTCGCCCTTGCCCCCGCCCCTCTCGAGCAGCAAGCACGGTCTGTCGCGCGGTCGCAAGTCCTGCGCTCCACCAGGACGGCGGCGACCAAGTAGCCCCCCTCCCCCTCCGTCTGCTCCTCCCCTCGTCGCCGCCACCTTCCCATGCAGCTTTGGAAAGCGGGCGGCGGCGGCGGCCGCAGCGCCTCTGGCGCCGCTGCGGCCGCCCAGCCCCTCCAGCGGGCGCAGCGCACGGCGCCACATAGCGCGCGCGCGGGTGGCGCAGCGCCCCCACCCCGACGGGAGCCTCTGCCGGAGCCCGCGGCGGGCTCGAGGAGGGGGGCACCGCAGGACACGAGGAGAAGACAAGGACGAGGCAGGCGGGGGAGGAGAACGGAGGAGGATTGGGAGGCAGACGGGGGGGACAGGGTGGACAGGAGGAGGAGGAGGAGGAGGAGGAGGAGGAGGAGGAGGAGGAGGAGGAGGAGGAGGGGAGGGGGGAGGAGGAGGAGGAGGAGGAGGAGGGGTGTTGCTTTGCCATACGGGTAAAACGTCCCAAACGGGTATAACGTGACGCCGAACAGGGCGCGGGCGAGCATGCCCTGGCAAACCTACCACACATCATAGCTTCCCTTAGCAAGGCAACGGGCACACGTGTACAAAGAGGAAGCAGACACAAGCTGAATCCGTCCTGTGGCCTCTTATTACTGGCTAACCCCCAGTAGCGCCGGAAACGGCGTGCCTCAGGGGGTGAACCAACAGATAGGAAGCAAAGGGCAGGACCCGAGCACTGGACCAGCGATCGCAACCCCGCAGGGTGAGGTCGCCCCCTGGCCCCTTCCCCCCAGCCAACAGGCGGGGCGAAGAGGAGGAGAAGGAGGAGGAGGAGAAGGAGCAGGAGGAAAGGGTAGGGGAGAAGAAACGGGGGGTCGCGGGGGGGGGGGGACGAAGAGATTTCTGCGTCTGGCAAGGAATCCCGCGGGAAGACTAAAAACCGTTACCATAGCTAGGGGAGTGCAAGACCCGTGATGTGCTGCTGCTGTCCGCAGGAGGAGGACGAGCAACAGCAGCAGGGAGGCGGAGGAG